GGCAGGCCCACAGGGTATTTTTTTGTAGGACATCTGTTGATTGAGATAAACAAAAATGCATGAAAATAAAAAGAATGGACTATACTGAGACACTAACAATTTGCAAAGATGTTTCTAGTTTCAAAGGATTGCAGAAAGTAATCCATGTGGTGAAGATTCTAGTCTTCGGGTGTTTGGAAATTTTCTGAAATGTATTTTTACCAAAAGCCTAGATTATATCTTTATTCTCTCTTAAAGACCATAACAAATTCTGACTAATGGACTAAGGATATTTTTCACAGGCTCGGGGATTTTGTTTCTCTCTTTTCGCTTTCACATTGTGGGTTTAAATAGTGGCAGGAAGAAATTTAGAATCAAAACCAGTGCAGTTCAGGATAAAAATCAGTTCAGGAAAAAAGATCTGCTATTGCTAGAGCAAAAATCAAATCCATTTTACATAGGTTTGGGCTGAAGAGGAACTAGATCAAAGAGGGGAAGTTAAAGTGTTTCTTACTTTTGCTTGAGAGCTGGATGTTGAAAAGTGCTCAGAGTGGAAATACACAGAGATTCCTGGGTAATCCCATTTATAACTTTCAGGTACAGATCATTAGTTGCCTCTTTCATGTCCTGACCATCATATGATTCCAGAGAATTCAAAGACATTAAATCCTTACCAAATTTAACTTTTCAATATGGACAATACAGAGGAAGGATTTGTCTAACAAACAGTGACAGGCATGGTGTATCAGCCACTTTTTTCAACATACACAACATTGGTATAGTCTCTTTTGTGATAGATGTTGGAGACATATTTTAAATTTAAAATTACAATGATTTGTATAAGAATCACCTGTACCAAATAGATTTGATCCTGTCAGGGTAAGTGGAAAGCACACCCAGCGGGATGCAGTCCTTAAGTAGCTGCTGTTTGAAGATCATGATCCTAAGGGTGACATGCAGTCCTTGTCCCTTCTCTTTGACCTCCCATTTCCTCTGGCCTCCTCCTCAGTACCTGCAACAGAATAGGATGAACACCCTCAGTAGCAATGTTTTACTTCCTCGCACTCACAGCAGTTCCCTTTTGCAGTGAACCAACTTAAAGACTTCACTCATCAGACCTGTTCCTCTGTTCCACACAACTGCTGGGAGGTAAATGAAGGAAAACAAGGCATGCAGTGGCTGCCAACACGCTCTGAGAAGACTTACTTCAGCCTGCCTCAGCCTGGACTAGGTTTCTCCTAATGGGTGATATTGGGCGTCCAAGTCAACACACACGTGCTCTGCTTCTTCCTGTCAGGTGCTCACTGCAAAAAGACCTGGGATCACATCAGGCCAACAGTGTATGTGCCATATACTCTACCAAACCCCCCAGTTCTGCCCCAAACCATTGCTTAGTCAAAAGATGGGAATGATTCTCAGTACTATGAGCTCTTTAGAGGGAGAAAAAACTGCACTGGAAATACTTCCCAAGTACATATCAAATATAAAACAATGAATTACTTTATATGTGGATTTCTTAGCTTTGAACATTTTCCACGTGGTGATTACGGTGTTTCCATTCCACAGAGTCATATATATTTTGAAATATATTTCAGAAAATGAACTTGGTTGGTTTTCAGGTCACAAGAAACATTCCTTGCCTTTTCTGGGTATTCTCTGTTTAGCAAGAATGCACTTAGTAAAGCAGGATAAATTATAGAAGCCCCTGGGAGTCAGTGCCATATTGTGCAACTCACACAAACACCCATGGGCTTGCAGAGGAGAGCTCTGTTTGTTCAGGAATAAGATCTGGTATTTCTCATGCAGGAGGTCATATTACCTTGAAATGCCTCTGCCCCGTAGCTCTGCCTGATGAATAACATCTGCTCCCATAACAACTGCCTCTCCAGCAGGAGAGATGGGCTCTGTGGCATGACAAAAACAAAAGCAGTCCACATCCAATCCTCTACCAAGGCAGCAAGTGATCACAATAAGAAACAGAAACCTCTCTATGTGCCTGATTCAAACGCTCCTGGAGCCAATAGGAAAGAGCCCAGAAGATTTCAGGGTGTCTTGGGTTAGGAAACATGCACACCCCTGTCTCTGCTCATATAAGGGTAATACTATCAGCAGCTACAATAAATACCAGTTGAAACTGAATGTTTCTCTCCAGTTCTTTGCCTTCTCGTCAAGAGACACAGCAAAACATGGGTCACTTTACAATCATACTGATGCAAGGAAAGGAAGTTTTTACTGGAGTTGGTGATAGCAGATATGTTTTTTTCCATACTTAAGAAATCTGTAATAGTCAAAGTAATTTGAAGTCCAGAACTAGCAGCCTTCTTACGGGAGGAAAGGTTTGTGCCACAAGAGATCATGGGGAAAGCAACTCCTCTGCTTTGCTTCCATTCACATTAACACACTGAAATCCTATTCCCAGCAAGTAAAATTAGCCATTAGCTTTCATCCTACTCCTCACAGCCCAGACAATAAAATCAGGAGAACTTCTACTGAATTACCGATATTTCCAGTGCAAGTGGCTAAAAATTTCACCTGAAAAGACGTAGCAATAAAGTTAGCTGGGAGACGGTAATTTGGTTTCACAAGTTTCAATTTTCTAAAACAAATTATTGTTTTTCAGTGGGATAAAATGAACTTCAGAACATTTTGTTAAAAATAAATTGAAGAGGAACATTTGTTTTCTTATCATAAAGCACAATTTTTTCAGCTCTGATCCTCTCTCACTTATTTCCATTTTGCTTCCCCACTCATTCTCTGTCACCAGAGGTAGCTGCAGAGCCCTGGATCACAAAGGCTTTCCAGCTGCACTTTTTTTTTTTAAATCAATACATTTCTCTGTGCTTCATTAAAAATGCATTCTGTTAAGAATGTTCATAAACAAATCTGCTTGGGAGAAGTTCTTAGCTTGTCCCAAAAATTGATATCTGACACTTCTAACAGGACAACCAGCTGCTCAGCTGTGAAGCTTTGGGAGAAAAATACGCTGTGAAGTGCTGAAACGACAGTCCTGTATATTAAAGGTATCCTGTCTATTTTTTTGCACAGAGTATAAATTTTGCTACATTCCATTCAGCTTAGTCTTACTTCCCTGTTTTGTCATCTTGACCCTGATCCCAAGGATTTTAGGGATATACCTGTGAAGAGATAGCTGGAAAAAAATGTCTGTGTAGCCTTGTGTTTATCCATGTATATTCACTTCAATACGGATTTGACAAACATGTCTTAGCTGTTTTTGAAAGCAAAGGCAAATGAGTCCTACATTCTGCCAGTTGTATTTCTTTATGTATAAATTACAAGATTACAGACAGGAAACCTTTAACCTGGTAGAGCATTTTGACTTTTCCATGGAGACAGACTTGCTTATTTTTCTGGGAGGTAGAAGGCTTTCTGCCGCTACGCTGACATTTTGCATCATCTTCTTCCTTTTGCATCTGAAAAAAACAAAACCAAAACCAAAACAAAAAACAAACAAACAAACAAAAAAACCACTTAAACAACCAAACCACAGTTCTGAAATGGCAGTGAAAATACTTTACTCCTTTTGAGTGACATGGACTGCATATGTCTGTGCATCTGCAGGTCAGTCAAAGGGACCAGAGGAGAATTCTTTAACCCTGGGTGTATAAGGGAGCCAACCTAAATGATTTTTTTTGTCTTCCTTTGATTGCACCACCAAGTCTAGAAGCTCTTTTTTAAAAACGTGATCCCGTATGGTTGGGGGGAATAAAGGAGAATATTGTAATTAGAAAAAATCTAACTTCTCTCTCACATCTGGCCTTTATGCCTCAATAATCCCTCGAGTGCAGCTCATAAATAATGAGCACTCAGAGTTGGGCTGTACAATTCCAGTGTATTCTATTGACTTCCAGGAGATGCACAAAAGAATAGTACATATCCTGAAGGCAAAAGCATGTGCCATTTTCTTAGTCTTCTATCATACATATATTGCTAGTAGTTTAATTACAACTTGTTGAGTACTGCTGGTAGGCTATACAAGACACAAAAAGAATGCTGTGTATAAACAGAACTGATTTTTATCTTTTTCTTTATTTCTCATTATCCCACTATCCATTTCCATAGACCTTTTGTTGTAACTTTACGTGATACAGATTAAAAACATTGTGATTTGAGAAAAATACAAGAAAGCAAGCACCTAGCAAGTATAATCTCATCAGGTTTAAAAAAATCAAACGAACAACAATGCCTTTTCCAGGTACAAATACTGAAAAGTATGTAAAAAATAACTTTAATCTCACTGAAATTGGGGGAAAAAAAAAAAAGAAAAAATAACTATGCATCTAACTAGATAGCTAGATGCTCAACTGAGGTGAGTTTCCTTATTTTGTTGACTTCAACAGGCCTACTTTTTTTTGTTTATTGACAGACTAATTAGTTTCATGCAGGGCCAAAATCTTTGTATGTGTTGACAAAAAAAAAAAGGAACTGCAGGATAAGAAAATTAGAGGGAAACATGAAACAAACTTGTTTGTTGCATAAATCTCACAGAAGCATGCCCAAGTGGAACATGAAGAAAAGATGGAAACAGAAGTTGCCTTCTTGTGTCTGTCTCCCAGTAAATCACAGCATTACTCTGGCTTATAAGAATGTCATACCCTCAGGTCTGGACTTTTTTATTTGGATTAGGGTTTGAAACAAACAGAGTGCACTATTTTGTCAGTAAGAAAGAAAACAATATGCAGATTCGGTTCCAAAATATTCAAGTCAATATTAGCTTTAAAAAAGCGCAAAGAGAAAAAAAAAGAAATCATCTGGGAACCTAAAAATGTAGATTTGGCTTCAAATGTGTGCCTTTCTTACCTATTTAGAGGCAGCTTATTGTTATGTGACTCATAAATGGATATTATGTGTTGTAAGGTGTTTTCATTAGCCAAAGCTGACTGGCTCTTCTGAATACATCTTCTATCTTTAAAGTCTTTCCAAGTAGTTTTTCTGGGATCCATTTCTTAAAGGCAAAGAGACTAATTTACTGATAGTAACTGTTTTCTTTTCTTTCTCTGTAGGTTTAAGCGGTAACTGGGTATCTTGTTAGCAGAACAGAAATGAATAACTCAACGTACATAAACTCTTCCACGGAAAATGTGATGGCTTTGGAGAGCCCCTATAAAACTGTTGAGGTGGTCTTCATCGTCCTGGTAGCAGGGTCTCTCAGTCTGGTCACCATAATTGGGAACATCCTGGTCATGGTGTCTATCAAAGTCAACAGGCACCTCCAGACTGTGAACAACTATTTCCTGTTCAGCTTGGCCTGCGCTGACTTGATCATCGGCATCTTTTCAATGAACCTGTACACCCTCTACACTGTGATAGGCTACTGGCCCTTGGGGCCTGTGGTGTGTGACCTCTGGCTGGCTCTCGACTATGTGGTCAGCAATGCCTCTGTAATGAACCTCCTCATTATCAGCTTTGACAGATACTTTTGTGTCACCAAGCCTCTGACATATCCTGTGAAGCGGACCACTAAGATGGCAGGAATGATGATTGCAGCTGCCTGGGTCCTGTCCTTCATCCTGTGGGCCCCTGCAATTCTCTTCTGGCAATTCATCGTGGGAGGAAGGACTGTCCCAGATGGGGACTGCTACATTCAGTTTTTTTCCAACCCTGCTGTCACTTTTGGCACTGCCATTGCAGCCTTCTATTTGCCTGTTATCATCATGACTGTCCTTTACTGGCAAATCTCTCGAGCCAGTAAGAGTAGAATAAAGAAGGGGAAAAAGGAAGCTGCCCAAAACCAAGATACAGTTTCCCCCAGCCTTGTCCAAGGTAAAATAGTGAAACCAAACAATAACAACATCCCGACCAGTGGAGATGGGTTGGAGCACAGCAAAATTCAAAATGGAAAAACCAGTGAGGAGACTGTGACTGATAACTGTGTTCAAGCGGAGAAAGAGAGCTCCAACGAGTCCACCTCTGTCAGTGTGGTTGCTTCCAACTTGAAAGAGGACGAAGCTACCAAAGATGCCAGACAGGCTTCTGCCTCCCAAGACCATCTTAAAGTGGAGAACTCCAAGCTGACGTGCATCAGGATAGTCACAAAGTCCCAAAAGCGAGACTGCTGCGCCCCTACCAACACCACCGTGGAGATCGTAGGTACGAATGAGGAGGAGAAGCAGAACAGTGTAGCCCGTAAAATAGTCAAGATGACAAAGCAGCCAGCCAAAAAGAAACCACCCCCCTCTAGAGAGAAAAAAGTGACCAGGACTATTTTAGCCATCCTTCTGGCCTTCATCATCACCTGGACCCCATACAATGTGATGGTGCTCATCAACAGCTTCTGCACATCCTGCATCCCTAACACTGTATGGACCATAGGCTACTGGCTCTGTTATATCAACAGCACCATCAACCCTGCTTGTTACGCTCTCTGCAATGCTACCTTCAAGAAGACCTTTAAGCACCTCCTTATGTGTCATTACAAAAATATAGGAGCTACAAGGTAAAAATAAAAGTAGAAATAGTTATGGAAAGGGTGAAGAAGTTCCAAATTAAGTTAAAAAACCCACAATGCTATAGCACTTTATGCTCTTCTATAGAATGTGCAATCCAGGATGTTTTGTGGAAATACTGATAGGGGCATCAGCTGTACCCCTGAGAACTACATTTAAAAACATTTTTTTAATAATTGAAAACAAGTCTTTAGGACATGGAGATGTTTGAGAAATTATTCAAGGATGTGAACTGGAGGCACAGTTCCTTACTTTCGGGGAATATTCTGCAGAAGGGCTTTAGAGTCTACTATTTTTGGTCATTCTGTGCAAAATAGTTGTTCTTCTTTTTTCTTTCTTTTACAATTTTTTTTCCCTGTGTCCGTTTAACACATCTTCATCTAGGGAGAAAAAAAAAAAGAGGAATTTTAATAATAACTGTGTGGAAGAGGCATAGGAGTATAGAAGATCACTGCATAATCTAAAGGCATCATGGCAGAAATTTTCTGAAGTTTGAAGTTGTCTAACTGTTTTTTGCCACTGTCGTGTAAGAAGCTTAATGTTGGGTACATCGTGATGAAAGTTATGTTGTTTATGACGTCACCATTTCCAAAACTGCATCAGTTCTGCAAGTGTACTTATGTTCAACACATAATCATTGCCTAACTTGTATATCATTCGAAGTCTGCAGCTTGTCCCATTCTACAGGCTTTTGTTCTGTGACTACTTCATCATGCCAAGATCAAAATGAAAAGATGTGGTCTCCTCCAGATTGCTGCATCCCAAGACTACTTCAGCATCCATGTAAACCAAAGCTTTTGAGACAATTTTGTTCACTTTGTTTGTCACATAATATCAAACTGTGGACTTGTCTTTTACCTCCATCAACCTTTTCTTCCTGTTTGTAGCATACTTGTCCAGGGCACAAAGACTGAATATCAAAAGTTGTAAATTCAAAGGTCTCATCCAGTCAGCCATAATAGTGGTCAGACAAAGGGTCTCAGCTGAAGAACAGAAACGAGGTTGTTACTAGGAAAATGAAGGTTACATCCTTTTAAAGTCAGGTGTATCCATTAAGAGGTATGTTAAGGCTTCACAAAATGAATAGCTAATATTAGATGAACATGTTCTTGATTCATCAAAAGATGATTATGATGAATTTATTGAGGAAAATAAAAAGAGTGATATATACCCACAAGTATATGTGGGTCCAAGTCCAAGTTCTGCCTAAGAGCTTCGTGTGAGACTAGGATGTTTTCTGAATGTATCCTGGAGAAGATGTTTACCTTCTGGAAAAGATGTTGTCTAAACTGCCTTTTGTACCAGCTGGGAGCAATATTTTGACTGTAAGCTGAGGGATATTATTAATAAAAAGGTGGAGAGAAAAACAGTAATTACACCAAACCAGATACTGAGTAGTCTGAACGGGAGTCTGGCAGTGGTCGAGTTCAAATATTTTCTCCTACTCCACACCAGCTCAAATTTAGTTTCTTTCTGCCTGACAAAGAATTTACTATTTCAATATTTGATATTTACTGTAGCACAATTGGGTACTGTGTGGACAAGTCAAAGGGTATCAGACTACTGAAAACATCAATTGTCTGTGAGTTATGCATATTACCTCCTTCTTAGTAACAAACTTCCAGGCACTAGTGAAAGTATATTTACAGATTTCATTACTCAAAAAAGTATAGACAGTGTCCTGAGAGTCTGTCTTCTTCAGTGAAAGCCACCCACCAAATAGGGTACCAAATCATTCTGTTATTCCATGTTACCGCATTAAAGTCTTCCAAAATGCATTTCAAAACAGCAACCTCTGAGATTACAGAAAAATTAATCTTGCAGATTTAAGCTTTACATTTAACAAGCTTATTGGAACACAGTGTCAAAGCACTTTGGCAATATGACAATTTTCATGTTTCATAGTACAAGTTCCCAGCAGAAGGTGAAAATGAGGAGGATTAAACTGCAGTAAATTAAGGCCACAATAAACTCAGGATTAATGTGTCTTAGTATGCCATCATTGATTTTATACCTCTAGTGATTTCATCCTACTATAGCTAAGGGTCTCCATACAGCCAAGGATGCAATTTTGCAACCCTCACTTGCCTTGAGTCATATTTACTATCACTATTTTCGTTGTCTTATTTGTAAGGAAGAATAACTCAATGGCAAAGCTTGCTGCTTGCCTTTCAAAACTACATTCACTAGGTTTATCTTGGCAGGTCAAAGGAAAGACAAACTATCATTTCTAGTTTATTCATTCTTTTACATTGTTAAAAAAGCCAAATAAAAAAAAACAAAGATAAAATGAAATCTGTTTCATTTCTAAATCTGACTTCTTTAGAAAAGTTTCCTAAGAGAAACACACCTGCTTCTTTCTTTCGGCAAGAGCTGTGCATGTCAACAGTACAGATACTCAAACTGGGAAATATTGCTTTGTATAGTCTTATTTAATCTTTTAATTCCATTTTTCCAGCAGGTGTGCAAATCCTTTTTTCTCCCATTTGAAGCTGTCCCTTGCTCATAATGAATTAATCTAGCAGCTAAGGACACCTCTACAGGTTAAGAAGTGCAAGATAAACATTACAATTACACTTCATCATGTGATGACACTCAGTACCATAGGGAAAAAAAATATCTTGGGGCCAGCATTCGTGAAACAAACAAGCAAATGAAACCCATCAGTTTGAAGCTTTCTGGCATTTTATTTAGCATGAGCCCCATTTTTGAACCTAAAAGACAAAATGCTTTGATTTGTATTATAGTATATTTAAAAACTTGCGGGACACACAATCCTCTGTGTTTCCACCTTGTAACAGTTTCATGGCACATCCACATTTACAGATAATTAAACAATGTAAAAATAGATGGCAGAATACACCTATGTATGTATCCACAGGCATGCAAGCACACACCCCAACCTAATTTATATACATGGAAAATATCATCTAATATTCAAACCATTGCATGGAATCTTGTTTGTGTGCTCATTGCCAGCTGATGGGAGGTGCAGAGCCAGCACATATTACACTGTCTACCCTCTCCTGAAGGCAGAGAAGAGGTAGAGTCTGCCCTGAGATACTTGGAACCTCTGGAATCTTCGTCTGGTTGTGGCTCACTAAGATAAAAATGTGATAATCATTCAAAGCCCCAAAATAATTTGTTCTTTTCAATATCCTTTGAGCTCTCATGTCTTTCCTTTGTGTCCAAACCACATTCACCAGGTTTCGCTTCCCTTCTGAGTGAGAGTTCTGCGAGATCTAGATGTTGGTCTTGAAGAGCAGCTCTTCCTGGGTAACCCCTCCAGCTTCCCTGGCTGTCACCTTGCACACCACTGGCCCCAGGTGCCCTGCTTCAGGAACTGCCACATCTTCACCTTGGGTTTGGCCAGAACATTTCAGTGGTACATCCACACCATGTGCTGCACTGGCTACTTTTGTTTCACATAGAAATTGAGTAAACTGTGCCCTTGTTTCAAGAGAAAAAAACAACCAACTAAACAAACAAAAAACCTGCCACAAAAAGACAACCACCAACAAAAAACTTGCAGTTAGTGCTTCTTGCCCCTTCTTTTTTTTCCTCTACTATTTCCAGAAAGAGGCCAAGACTGAAAAGTTCCAATCAACCTCTGACATTAGCCCTGCTGCAGCAGGATCTGTCTCATTGGCAACACAAGGGTAATCTCTTGTACTGTCACAGGCCAGCCCTACCTTCACTCTCCAGAAGGAGAACAGCAGCCTGAAGATGTCAGTCCAGTGGAAAAGAAGGAAAGAAAGGAAAGAAAAGAAAGGAAAGAAAAGAAAGGAAAGAAAAGAAAGGAAAGGAAAAAAAAAGGAAAGAAAAGAAAGGAAAGAAAAAAAAGGAAAGAAAAAAAGGAAATAAAAAAAGAAAGGAAAGAAAAGAAAGGAAAGAAAAAGAAAGAAAGGAAAGAAAGAAAAGAAAGGAAGGAAGGAAGGAAGGAAGGAAGGATGGAAGAAAGAAAGAAAGAAAGAAAGAAAGAAAGAAAGAAAGAAAGAAAGAAAGAAAGAAAGAAAGAAAGAAAGAAAGAAAGAAAGAAAGAAAGAAAGAAAGAAAGAAAGAAAGAAAGAAAGAAAGAAAGAAAGAAAGAAAGAAAGAAAGAAAGAAAGAAAGAAAGAAAGAAAGAAAGAAAACTGAAGTAATATCAAAAATCTGTTTTCCAGTGAGAGCAAATCTAAGAAAAAATTTTTGTCAGTCCTTTCTATTTGGGATTTTTCCTTTGATTTACTTGGAATCATAGGATCCATTCAAAGGTAGCAAAGTATTTCAATGTTGCCTGATGAAAAATACTCCAAATACAACATATCTATACAGGTCAGAATCCTTTTTCTTTCTTTCATTCTTTCTTTCTTTTTTGTCTTACAAATGCTCATGGGGATGAGAGTGCTCAAACGGACCCCAGGGATCTGTTGTTTGGCATTCACAAAGCATGAAGGGGACAAAAGCAACTGCTAAATCTATCAGCCCTTTGTTTTATACTCTTGTGGTGGAGGAAAACATATTGACAAGAAGAGGTGCTTTTATTAAGAGTGTCTGTGGTGAAAACAGCCCACACACAGTGAAGAAATCCTTGGGACGGCCTAGTTACTCCTCACCATCCCATATGGGATAGGAGAAGGAGGGGAGGGACATTTTTTTGGTTTTATCTCTTTATGGATTTGAATGTGTCCATCTGTCTGCTTTGCAGTGGGCCTTGTTAGTAAACTCATTGCCCTCTCCCCAATTTTGACTGATTTTGATCCCTGTTCTTCATTCCCATGGATGAGTAATTTCTATGGATGAATGTTACCTTGTTATAGTGTTCCCATTTTCTTCTGTGGTGCTGAGGGGGCACACTTTGAATTTTTCACTTCAATTGACAGCACTTCTCCGTGCCAGTTCTGTTTCCCAAAACTACTCATGGTACCAGCCTAGCAGGACCAAATAGGTAAAGCATCCTGACAGCCATCCTCCTGCAAATCTGTCATGAATGCAGTTGGAGGATGGGGGGGGGGGTGGGGGAGAAAAGAGTGATGATGATGTTTTTCCTCCCTCCTCTTAAAATAATTCCTAAAAATCTTAATTTTTTAACAAATTTGTGTGTTTCTTGTGAGAACATACAGTCTTAAGAAAGAAAATGCAGGAAAACAAATGCTGGCGCTGTTGCTGGGGGGCTATTACTGACAGATAATGAGTTTGGAGTTTAACAGCCTTTGATATTTTTAAAGCTCTCTTAAATGGTTCTGTACTCTCACCTGACAGCAGTGCAAGTGGTAGAAATTGAGAAGCTAAAAAGAAGCTAACTCTTCTTTCACCCTGGGTCTATCTACAGTGCCTAGAGACATATGAGAATGATTTCTATCCAATATCGCTTTTACTGTTTTACTGGTTTTGTACATCATGAAAAGCTCTAGACTTGAAACCTCTTGTTTTTCTAAAAATTTATAGAAAATTTATCCTTGAAGGAAACTGAGAGATTAATTTGCTGTGGCTTCTTTTCTCTGCCTGTCTTTCATCTTTTGTCACAGTCTTGACAAAAAGCTTTTCTCTTTCTTCACTTTAACAAGTATGTCACCTGTCTTTTAGCTACAGGCATGCAGTTTCCCTTGTCTTTTAGGCACTGTGAATGTTGGTATTCAACCTCTTTAACCCCACCAAAATACTGCTTGCTCTAGCATGCAAATCCCCTTCCACTGAAGCCCAAACTACTGTGTGAAGTGGAAAGTTCCATAAATCCTTTCTGCATGGGTTTTAAATTGGAAGTAAAACAAACCCTCGTATAAAACAAAGCCAAAACAATTCTTTTGTTTCCCACTGTTGTCATCTCTTTACTAGAAACAACTGTGGATAATGTCAAAGAGTGAATATTCTTGTAGTGGAATATCATGCAGCAACATGCACGGATTAATTTTATGCTCTGTGCAATGATAAGGCAGTGCTCCCTTCCCTTGAATTCTCTTTCATTCCAGAGCTTATTGGCATTTACTGACAATCCAAGCCTAAGAGTGTAATTATAGCAAGGCCGAGTTGAACATGAATCATTTATCACAACCAATGCAATTATTTCTGCTATATTTTTACTTCCCTCCTTTTGCTTTGGCCTCTTTTGCTACACTGTGGAACCAGTGGGTTCCATGAGTGTATCAGTCCTCTTAGGCCTCATATTTCAGGATAATGGGTAGATTTGCTTCCCAAGTTTCATTCTAGTATTATTCAAATTAAGGGAAATAAATTCTGGTGCCTTCCCAAGCTCTGCATTACCTGAAAAAGTGCTATTTGATAACTGCTCTTTTCATCTTCCCACAGTGAGTTTCTTTTCTTTTTCCTTTCTTTCTTTTTATTTTTTTTTTTTTTTTATTATTCATACTTACCAAGAAGTACACAGAAACTATTTTCTAAGAGATGTCCCAAAATGTTCTGACTCTCTGGAAGAAGCATCTCTGTGTGGTACATCAGGTCGTTTGATTGCAGCCCATGTTACAGTGGCCACTGGAAGGAAGGATTTCACTGAGTGTTTAATGTCTGGACTGACTCATCTGACAGCACTGAGGAAAGCACAGGGGAACACGCTTGGTGTGCCCTTACTTGCAAAGGGAGAAGGAAGTCACAGGTGGATTGGTTTTTTGTACCCACCAGCTCATGTGTAGCCTTCAGGGAGGAGGTAGGGATTTCTACCCCCACTAGAGGCTCTGTCTCTACATCTCTAGCCCAAAGACAGCTCTTCCCTGAAGCACCTCATGGTAGTAGTGGTATTAATAATAATAAAAAAACCTTTTTCTTTCATGGTAGTAGTGGTATTAATAATAATAAAAACACTGGTGAGAGTACCATGGTTGCCAATCAACAGATGTTCTTATATCTTATCCCTTATCTGCCACTTCGCAGAGGTGGTTGGTAAAGGTAAAGACTCGTAATTTGTAAATACCTTTAGATAGTGTGTTTTAACATGACCAACACCATATTCTGACTGTGTACAAAATAATACATTATGTGTAATACTATCCAGATAAGGTTATACTGTAAATATATCTACAATGAATGTCAAATTACTCTTCAAGCTCTATGTACGAGGAAAGAACCTCATCTCTTCTTGAGACCTTTTTTAACTTAAGGGTATGAAAAATCTGTTAATTGTTTATATATAAACCCCTGCATTCTTTTCTTCAAAAGAAAATACTACTGTAAGAAAGAAGGGAATGCATTACCTGTATGTGATATCTAAAATCACGTGGTAAAACTGGGAACTGAGGATCTTACAAGTAGGGGACTGGTCAAATTCTTAATGCCGTCCATTTGATCTCATTTAAATAAGATAAGCACAAGTTTATGGTTAGCTGTGTAAGGCTGACCCACTTGATTATATATACATTATAGATATATATTTATATATGCTGTATAGATATACACATATTATATGTAACATTCATACAGTAAAGGCAAAGTTTGATAAAGTTGTATTAACTGGGAATTTGGATGTAATGTTGTGATCCATTTGGAAGAAGATGTCTGCGTTATTCAGCAACACAGGATGAAGAAAGAAGGTGTTTCACCAAAACGAGCTGGAAAGAATGACATGATGAGGGTTTGAAACATTTTGAAGAGACAACTAAAATTACATGCAATGTATGTGTATGTACTTCTGCTGAGTTGTATTCCTAGTTAAAGCATTGCATTAAACAGAGAATTATAACAATAATAAAAATGTTTTTGTATGTGGTATCTTTGTGTATTTTATCTTTTTACTGAGTGAGATACACTACGAAATGTGAAATGGGAATAAATAGAAAAATAACTGCCCTAAAGTAGCCACTGGCTATAAGACTGTTTGTAGTAATGAGAAAAAATTCTAACCTTCTTTTCCCCGAATTTCTGGGCAAGCATGAAGTTTGAGGGAAGTCTAGACCACTATTTTACTAGTCCTTATCTTGTCCACATCTCTGTTCCACCTTCAGAAGGTCTCACCATTAATCTCACTGTCCCTTGAGCAGTCTGACAAGGGTCTCCAATAAGACATTCCTCTATATATTTCTGTCATCCAAGTATTGAAAGGGAATAGATAAGATTCTTCTGTAGCCATCCTGTTATATCAAAGCAAAAGAAACTTTTAGTTATGGAGGGAGATGGTGTTATATCAAAGCAAAAGAAACTTTTAGTTATGGAGGGAGATGGCACCACTAACAACCACATGTATTTTGAGCTCCCTTTGCTTTATGAATGCAGACCTAGCTGTATGGCATACCCAGAAAGCTTCTGGGAGCAGAGGCAAAAAATAGTTTGCATGTGTTCAGCTTCTCAGGGTCTCGGGACACTCTTTCACCCCCACTTAGAAGCAGCCAGGGCTCAGATGCATCAGAGGAAGCAGGTGGTAGTGACGGGGGACCATCTCTGCCCAGGTAAATTTAGGTTTTGGAGCACAGTCAGTCTAGCAATTTGACAAGTGATTGAAGAGTGGGTCTCGTGGGGCAAAGTGGGTGCATCAGCTCTGTCAGGATCAAGATGCTTTAACCCAGCTGCCCCAGAATGAAAGAAGCAATTTTAATAAGGTGGTATATACCGGTTTCTTCTTTCTGAAATTTCCCTTTGTTAATATTTGAGGATTTTCACTGTTTACACAGTGAAAATATGGACTTTACACCTGTCTTTTTTCTCTCTGCCTAAGATTTTCCATCTCTACCATTTGCTCTGTTGTTTCTGCAGTCCAAACTCACCTTCAGCCATCTCTCCACCCTCCTGCTCACCAACTTTCTTTTTCATCTGCGTTTTTCAACAGATAAACAGATAGATTGATATTTTTGAATAGATGTCTTTGCTTGCC